TCGGCGGCACCGGCCGTGAGGCCTTGACCAGATGATGAAAAACCTCCCGTCGGGATGTTTGTCACGACTCGAAGGGCCTGGGTGGGGGACCCAGGGAGGCCGAGCTCTGGTTGGGCCCGCCCCGCCTTCGTGCCGCGGAGGTCCCTGTGCAAGGGGTCGCCTGGGGCCTGCCAGCAAGAAGGGCGGCGGGTGCGCACCGCCAGCCCCTCGCCAAAACGCCAACGCTGGCGGGCGGCGCCAGGAGCCCAGGTGGCGGCGGACCTCTCCCTCGGCGGCGGGGCCCTCCCTCGGGCGCACGCTAACATGGATCTGGGATCCATGGGTCTGGCGCGTGGTCGCCAGAGCCATGGATCGGGGAAGGCACCGCCGAGACACGGCGCCAATGCCGCCCGAGTTGGTGGCGGAGCGCGCCGATTTTTTGTGCGGGAACGGGGCCCGTCGCTGATCCACTTGCCTTGATCCATGTTTGCGCTTCCTCGGCTCCCCCCCCCTCTTCGTCTGCTCCCTTCGCGCCCCCGCCTCTCTCCACCTTCTGCCCCCTCGGCCCGCCGTTCCGCCCTCCCCGCTCTCTCTCTCTCTCTCTCTCTCGCTCTCTCTCTCTCTCTCTCTCTCTCTCTCTGTTTCCCCCCCCTCCCCTTCCCCCTGCCCCCTTCCAGCCCTTCTCCACCGCGCTGCCGTTCGCACACGCCCTCTCTCCGTCCCTCGTCCTGGCACCTCCTCCGTGCACCTCTTCCTTAGACTATCCTCCCCTCTCCCCCCTCCCTTCGCCATACCCAGCTGGACTCGGGTAAACCCTCGCGGGCTGCCTCTCTCCTTAGAAACGGGCATGCTCAGTCCACCTGGTACACTCGCAATTAAGAACTGAGCGTATGTGTAACCCTGGTTCTGGACTTCGAAAATCCCCTTTGCCCAAACCCGCGTTTTCCCTGCAAAGTCGGAGTCAATGATACTTCCAGTCGCCTGGGCATGGCCGACCAGGGTGTTCATTTCAGGTGGATCTTCAACAAGGTACGGTGCATGCTCGTCACGGTCTATCCATCCGCCGGCGTTCGCTCGTGCTCTGGCCTGGCTCCTCTCGCCTTATTCACCTCCTGGTTGCTCCAGCCCTTACTCGTACCCACTTCAAAACCATGTTTTTCTCCCGGAGCTCAATCAACGAGCACAGAACTCACATCCGCACTCACGTTCAGCTTGTCATACTCAAAATCATGCCAACTCATACTGTCATCCCATACTCTATCGCGCTCATCACCACACTCACCCCCGTATTCTGACACTCGTACTCGAGCCCGTTCATACTCAACCTAACTGGTAGGTCGACCAAATTCTCAGTCAGACTCGAGGCATACTCGGCCACCGACGCTCTGACCCACTCGTGGCAACACCCATTCGTCCCTCACACCACCGCGAGCTTGCAGGCACCGAACTCGGGCCTCCCAAAAAGAGGCCGACCAGCGGGCTGCTGCACGAGCCCGTTCCCGCCCAGTCTGGCGGGCCATGCTCGGCTAGAGCGCACGGCTGGGGACGCAGACGTGTCTCCAGTCACGGCCTCGTGATCACCTCGTGCCAGGAGGCACTGCACTCGGGGGCCCCCGAGGCCCAGACCCCCGACGTCATCATTTCATGACGTGGACCCCCAAGGAGGTTCAGAGCCTCTCGTCCTTAGTCTTCCCTGACGGCCCCGAATCCCGGCAAGGACCCCTGGAGGCCGGAAACTATCGAAAACCGTCCGTCGCGATTCTGTCATGACCCCAGGGGGTCTGCTGGGGGCGCGGGGGGTGCTACGGGGATAGGGGGGGATCAGTCAGTGGATGCCAAGGTAGGTTATAGCTGGCCCAACCTAGCTCATTGGTGGGTTGCTAATGCCCCAAGTGGTTTGGGGGGATAGCGATCCAGGCTAAGTGGGCTCCGCCCATTTAGAGGAATTGTCTAATCCCCCTCAGCCACTTGGGGCCGGTGTAACCCACTTATAAACTAGGTTAGGCTAGGGGTGTGGCCCCCAGGGAATACTGTGCGGAGCCACTCGACCACCGCGCGGCAGCAGGCGTCGCACTCGGGCAGCCCCCGCGGAGGGCACCGGCGGGTGCTGCACGGGCCCTGCTCGCGCCAAGGATGGTGGGCACCCCCTCGGGCACTACGCCCGCTCGGTGGGATGCGCGGAATGACTCCCATGCTCAGGCTCACGGACTTTGCATCTGCGAAGCTGACTCGCTCAACCGGTCGGTCAAAACATTGTCTTGTCGCGGGCTCGGCGAACGCACAAGTCGGTAGGGCTGGAGCGGGACGCGCAGAAGCAGATCAGCACCGGGGCAAGGGCGAAGGAAGGAGGCGGTCGCCCGGTCGCACGGCCCTGCGGCCCTGCGGCCCGAGCCCCAGCGCAACGGGCTCTCGGGAGCGTGCGGCCGACTGGTCCACACCTTCGTCCCACTGGACGGCTTCATAGATGCCCAAAAATACTTAACAAATAGTCCCCAGACTATGTTTTAACTATTTTGGGGTATTTCCCCTGTAGAGGGACAGGCCCGACTTAATGGACGGCGGAAGAGGCCCAGGAGCGGAGGGGGCAGAGGGGAGCACGCGCTCGGCTCGCGATCTGCCCGCTGCAGCGAGGCAGCAGTCGGAACCTGGGCCGCCCCGATGCGCAACACGCAGCCTGCAGCGTTGGCACGGAGCTCCACGCGCAGACTGCAAACGCACGTCTGGCGCGACACGCTCGCTAAAACCGGCACGCTCGCCAAAGCGTGGGCCACCACGTGCCGAGCTAGCACGTCGCGTGTCGACACGGACGCTCTGAGCTCGGCACGTGCTGCGTTTCAAAACGGGGCGTGCCAGGGCAGCGAAGGCCAGAACCCGACGGCGGAGGAGGGGAAATGGGAGCCGCGGCGCTCGCGGCGAGCGGGCAGCGCGCTCGCTGCCGCCAGGTCGCCAGAGGGGGGAAACCAGGGGCGGGCGAAGCCCGAAGCCCTCCAGCAAGTCGGGGCGCCTGAGAGGGGGAGCGCAGGTCATGGCCCAAAGGAGCGTGCGCGGCCCAGGGGGAAGCCAGGGGACGCATCAACACAAGGAGAGGCGCCATGAGATCTGGGGAGATAGCCATGGCCCTGGCCATGATACCCACCCCCCTCCTAGCCATCACCCCCCCTCTTATCGGCGGCGAGCGAGGGGGGGAAGTGAGAAGGCAAAAGACGGCTGGGCTTCTCGGAAGCCCTCGCGCCTTCTGGGAAGCTTTCTGCGCCTCCGGGGAAGACCCACCAGAGTTCGCAGAGGACCGGGGGACGTCCGAGCCTCCTGAGCAGGCCCGCCCCTTCGTCGCTTCCCCCTAACCAGGGCTCGCCGTCGATCCTGGCCACCCCCGAGGCACGTGGCCTGTGATGGCGAGGCTTGGGGCTCGGCAGCTGAGCCGCCAGGGGGGGCCTCTCCGCGGCCCCGCCTCCGCGGGCGGCGGTGGCCCGCCCCGAGAGGCTTGGCGCTGCCCCGGGGTCGACGCCGCCAGAGCCGAGGGCTGCTGGACGCCGACGCCCCTTCGGTGGCAACTGCTTGGGGGTCTTCCTCGGGAAGAATAACAAAGATAAAGCCCCATTGGGGGGCTGCTACGCTGGATTAGGCCACGGATGAAGCGGGATTGGGCCAGATTAAGCGGGATGGAGCGGGATAAAGTGAGAGCAAACCGGATCAAGCCGGATTTCGGGCCAGGGCAGAGTCAGAGTTTGGCATCCCAGGAGTTGCATCCGAACGCCCCGAAGCCTGAGGCTCACGCCCTTTTTTGTTTGGCGTCGCGGCCCTGCGCGCGGCGACAGGGCGAAGAGTGTCGTAAAGCAGCGAGCGCGCGCGCGCGAGCGGAAGCGCCCTCGTGCCCTCAAAGACCGCTGGGGGGCTCCCGCAGCGGCCGGCCGCCCGAAGCCGTCGGAGCGTGGATGACAAGGGGGAGCGGTGGAAGGACGAGGCCACGGTGCGGTGGAGGTGTCATGAGCCATCCAGGACTGGATAGCCGGGTTTATGTGGACGCGGGCTAGAGTCACGCGCTAGCTCCCAGAGCGCAGGTGGAAACATGCGGGGACCGAACGAGGGCCCGAAAGACGAAAACGAGAGCCACAAGAGACCAACCAAGGCGAGCGGAGGGACCGACCGAGGAGGAAGGGAAGCAGGGCGAGTAAGCACCGTGGAGCGAAGAGCAGATCAAGCCCGACCTAAAGCCCGAAGGGTCCGGCTCACGCAGACTCAGGCTCACTCGTGCCCAGACCCACCATCACTCGGACCCACCCGTATCCAATCGATCATGCACAGACTCACTCGCGCTCAGACCCACTCACACTCGGCCGTTCTCTCGGGACTTGGAGCCGCTTGGCGCCGCTCCCAGCTTGACTTCTTCGGAGCCAAGATGGCCACAGGACGGGCCAAGAGGGCCTCAAGCGGCCCTCAAGATGGCCCAAGAAGGCCCCGAGTCGCCGAAAGACCGACAAGAGACGCCCAAGATGACCCCAAGACGGCCCAAGAAGCCTCCAAGACGCCCCAAGAGGCCTCCTAAGAGGGCCCCAGGGGAAAGAATGCTCGAGTTCCTCCGATTTTGAAACATGTTGGCCTTCTCGCCTTTTTGGCTTCCGGACGCTCGAAGAAGACCCAAAAGGCCCCTAAGATCGCGCCAATCTGGCCCCAGAGGCCCCCAAGAGAGACCAAGACGGCCCAAGAGGCGCCCAAGACGGCCCAATTGAGCCCAAAGGGGTCCCAAATGGGGAACCCGAACGGACATTTCGAGCCCTCGGCCCCGAGGGGCCCTCAGGAGGCCCTAAGAGGCCCTCTAGAGGCCCCCAAGAAGCCCCAAGAGGCCCGCAAGAAGCCCCCAAGAGGCTGCCCCGAAGAAACCCTCGAGAGCGATCCGAAGAGACCCCAAGAAGCATCCCTGAGAACTCTGACCCACAACCGAGGCACGGTGGCGGGATTGGCTGAAGACCATAAGATCCGCCGCCCCCTGCTTGCAGGGGTGCACGGCGTGCTGGATGTTTCAGGTTTTGGTTTTGGTTCTTTTTCCAAAAGAACTCCCCAGTGGGCTCCGGCAGAACCCGCCGGCCACCCGGAAAATCCCCAAACGTGCTCAACGACCGCAAAAAATCCTCCAAAAACGGCCGTTTCGCTCGGGACATCCTCAAAAAATCGCGAAGATGGCCCAAGATGGCCTCCAAGTCCGTCCGAGATGGTCCAGACGGCCTCCAAAACGGCCCAAGAGAGTCCAAGACGGCCCAAGACGGCCCAAGAGGCCCCCCAGAGGCCTCCCAGACGGCCCAAGAGGCCTCCAAGAGGTCCTCCAGGAGAGTCCGAAGATGCCAAAATCATTGATTTTCCATCGGTTTTTAAGGATTTTGGCCAGTTGCCGCCTTTTCCGGCTCTCCGAGGCTCAGAAACGGCCCCAAGAAGGCCCCCAAGATCGCCCAAGAGCCCCCAAGAGAGCCTCCCCCTATGGCCCAAGTGGGCCTCCAAGATGGCCTAGAGGGCGCCCAAGACGGCCCAATAGCTCCCACAACGACCCAAGATGGCCCTTCCAAGACTCTTCGAGAAAGCTCGGAACGGCCCTGGAGCGCCCCCAGAGGGTCCCCCGTTGGCCCAGAAAGGCCCCCAACACGGCTCCCGACGGCGTCAGACGTGCCAGGAACCCACCAAGATGGCCGAAGTTGGCTCGAAGCTGGCCCAAAGGGCCCAAGAGGCCCCCAAGAGGGCCTCCAGGAAGGCCAAAAGATGCCAAAATCACTGATTTTTCCCAGGTTTTTGATGGATTTGGGCATTTCCCTTTTTTCGGCCTTCCGACGGCCCGACACGGCCCAAGAGCCCCCAAAGATCGCCGAAAGATCGCCCAAGAGGCCTCCAAGACGGCGACGATGACCATCAAGACGCCCACGTGTTCCCCGAAGGCTTTCCAAACCGATTCGGGGAACACATGGTCCGATGGCTTGGCAGGTCTGGCCTCAACGTTCGGCCACATAGGCGCTTCCACAAAGGCAGGGGGCGGCGGTGATTCGCCGTAGGCGTTTTTCGATATGGACTCACTCGCACTCTGACGACCTGGGGCTGAGCCCCTGGGCCCCATGTATTTAGTTCGATGTACAAGAACGATGGCCCTGGACGGTGATCTTTAGCGAGCCTTGATCCCAAGGCCACACACCGTGGCCGGTACAAACTCGGTCCCTCCGATCTCTGAGAACTCTGCAGGAGTCACGATGCCCCAACCCGAAGGCAACCTAAACGAGTAAGGTCCGCGGGCACGAGGGCGGAACAAGTGGCGAGCAAAAAAAACACAGCAGAAGTCCCAAAGCGAATCAAAACGGACTGAGCACAGAGGGTGCCAAGCCAACTGCCCCTGCCCATCCGAGTCACCTCATTCCATCGCCCTTTCCTCACTCCCGTGCTCCCTCCCCGGTCCACCAATCTCCCTCCACCTCCACGTCTCCAGAGGCCTCCAGATGTCCCCAGAGTTTCCCTGGAGGCTCAAAGCAAACCAAAGACATCAATCAGTGTAAACTCGAATACCTACACCTCACCCTCCACCCCTTCCCTCCATCCCTCCACGTCTCCTTCGTCAATGCTCCCACTATGGTTCCCCGTCCCCTCTGCACCGCGTCCCTCGGCATCCACCCGCCGCTTGCCCCACGCCAACCCACCAAGTCTCCCACGCCTCCCCCCCCACTCGAAGCAGGCGCCTGTTTGGGAACACCGTCACGACAATCGACCTAACAAGACATGGCAAGAACAATCAAAGACGACGGCCCCCCTCTCCACCCGCCCCCTCCCCCTCATTTCCTCCTCCGGCTTCCTTCCATACCCATACTGGGCGTGCCCTGATGCTCTGGTGGGCGGTGGCTCGTTGAGGTCTTGCCGGGTGGCGCCGCCGTAGGCGATGCGACGGAGCTCCTGTGAAGCATCACGCCCAAAGATTTGGGCGGGCGCGGCGACACGAAGAAGATGGGGATGTGACGGGAGGAAAAACGGGGCAAAAGACGAAGGAAAGAGCGGGGTTGGGTAGGAGACGGAAATCGGCAGGAGAAGGGAGACATCAGACAGAAGAGGGCAAGAGGGGGACGGAGGAGTGGGAAGCTAGGAGCGGGAAGAAGGACGAGCTAGACACGCTCACGCCACAAGCGGCACCATATCCCTATAACCCATTCCTTATCATTGCGCTGAATATTTTCTGATCTGCCGATCGAGATGTCGGAACGGGCCTTGATCCTTGAAAGGAGTTTGCAGTGCTTGCGTCGACCAGGATGGGAAAAACGAGCGCTGACACGCGGGAAGCACGGAATGGGGAGGGGATGGCGAGGATGAGCGGAGATGAGAGAAGCAAGGAAAACGATAACGAGAAAGCTATGAAGCGAAGGGGATGGAAAGAATCAGAAGAGAGGAACAGGGATAGGGAGAGAGCAGAACGAACGCGCGAGAATGAGGGCATGGAGAGGGGGCGCAGGAGGAGGCGAAGGACGCCGTGACGGGGAGGAGCCGACAGACACGAAACATGGAGTGGCGGAGACGGCGGGGACGGTGGATGACGGAGGATGGCAGGGGGGGGCGAAGACAATATGAGGCAACCCCTGGCGCGCGGAGCGCGCCAGGGGCGGCACTGGAGGCGCCGCCGGGGGTGCCCAGCGCGGATCCAAGAAGTCCGCGCGGAGCGCCACAAGCTTATGTTCACGCAGTCTTCGTCGAACACATGGAGGGGCGGAGACGGCGGGGACGATGGACGACGGAGGATGGCAGGGGGGGGCGAAGACAGTGCAAGGCTGCCAGCACCCCGGGAGAGGTCTGGGGAGTAGCGGCATCGGTACCTCTTGGCTTCCCCACGCGTGAAGTGGCGGTCCAGACGCCAGCTGTGCCCGGCGGCACGCGCAAGAGGAGCGAAGGAGGGAGGAAGACGAGGAGAGGAAGCGGAGGATGTGGCGAGGGATCGAGGGTAACGGAGGGGGGATGCTGAGGAGGGCACGGCTGCACGCACAGGAGACCAGCGGCCAGCGCCGCTCCCACAACGCGAGCCCAGCGAACCGAAGCCGTGGTCACTCACCCGACGCACGCACGCACGCACGCATCAAAACAGTGCCGCAGCGCCGAATGTGGGAAACATTTCACGCGGGAGCCGACGCGGCGAGACGAACGCAATATCCGCCACCGCGCCCCCTGGCACGTCGTGATGCGTGGTGGAAGGCCAAGTGATGTATGGCAGGGTTTCTATACGTGTTCTCAAAGAGCCCACCCGTCTCGGCGCAGCCAGCTGCATGCACCACCCCTCCCTCCCTCCAGGGGCTCCTGGGCAGCCTGGCGCCTCCCTGGGGTCCTCCTAACCTCTCGACGGCTTCCAAGACAACCCAGGAAAGCCACCGAGGCCGCCAGTATTGCCCAGCTTCAGAGGCACCCAGCAGCCCCCAAGAAGCACCCAACAGGTCCCAAGAGGCCTACAAAAGGCTCCAAGACACTCCATAAACGCTCTCCAAAAGGGCTTCGAGAAACCAAAAGCACGAATTTCGCACATGTCTTTCAATAGTTCTCGCTGCCCACACTTGCTTCGGTCGAATGTGGCTCCCCTTGCGGCTTTCGACAGCCCACAATGGCCACTGACAGAAGGGCGCCACGACGGCCCCAACAGAGCCCCCCCCAGTGGCCAGAATGATCCTAAGCTGGCCCCAGAGGGCCCCCAGACGGCCCCGGGGGGCCCCAAGACGACCGAAGAGGACCCCGAGGGCCCACGAGACTCCGAGCATCTCAAGAAGTGGCGACGAGAGGCGCCACTCGTGATGACTTTCTGCACGGTACCCGAAGGGCGCCACACAGAATGCGTCGTTGGCGTGGGTCATTATTATTATCATGGATTACATGTTATTAGAATTACGATTGCGATTACTACTACTACTACTACTACTACTACTACTACTACTACTACTACTACTACTACTACTACTACTACTACTACTACTACAACTACGGACTACTACTACGACTAACACTACGACTTGAATGCATATGTAGGGATGTAACTTTCTGTGGATTGAATACGACTTTGTACTACGACTACTACTACTACTACTACTACTACTACTACTACTACTACTACTACTACTAACTACTAACTACTAACTACTAACTACTAACTACTAACTACTAACTACTAACTACTAACTACTACTAACTACTAACTACTAACTACTACTACTACTACTACTACTACTACTACTACTACTACTACTACTACTACTTCTACGACTACTACGACTACGACTACGACTACGACTACTACGACTACTACACTACTACTACTACCACTACTACTACTACTACTACTACTACTACTACTACTACTACTACTACTACTACTACTACTACTACTACTACTACTACTACTACTACGGTTACGATGACGATTACTATTAGTATTATTATGACTAATCCCACCAGCCCTTTGGGCGTGAGTGGTTTAGCGAGCCCCCTCTGTCCTCAACCCCCCTTCTTCCCCTTCGGGGAGGGGTTTACCCCTCCCCCTACCCCCTCCCCCTGGGCCTGGAGAGGGCGCCCCGCGGGTCGTCAGGGGGGTCAATTTCGACTCCTGGGAGGGCTAAAAAACGACGACCCTCACGAGGATTCTGGCCCCGACGGGGGGCCGGAGAAAAAAAACATCTCCTCTTCTGTGAAGCCAAAAACATTGATTTTACTATGGTTTTGGCCCCATTTTGGCCTTCTGAGGGGGCACCGCTCATCGTCCTTCATAGCAAAACCAATGATTTTACGAAGGTTCTGCCCTCATTTTGTCCTTCTCAGGGGGCAGCCCGCATTTGCGCTTCTGAGGAGGTCGCAAGAGGCCCCAAGATGGCCCCAAGAGGCCCCCAGGAGCCTCCCAAGAGGCCTCCAAGAGGCCCCCAAGAGGCCCCCAAGAGGCCCCAAGAGGCCCCCAAGAGGCCCCCAAGAGGCCCCCAAGAGGCCCCCCAGAGGCCCCACGAGGCCCCCAAGAGGCTCCCACGAGGCCCCCAAGAGGCCCCCAAGAGGCCCAAGAGGCCCCAAGAGGCCCCCAAGAGGCTCCACGAGGAGCCCGAACGACTCACACCAGGACGAGGGGCCCGAACGACTCACACCACGAAGAGCCCGAACGACTCACACCACAAGGAGGGGCCCGAACGACTCGCACCACGAAGAGCCCGAACGACTCACACCATAAGGAGGGGCCCGAACGACTCACGCCACGAGGAGCCCGAACGACTCACACCAGGACGAGGGGCCCGAACGACTCACACCACGAAGAGCCCGAACGACTCACACCAGAAGGAGGGGCCCGAACGACTCACACCAGGACGAGGCGCCCGAACGACTCACACCACGAGGAGCCCGAACGACTCACACCACGACGAGGGCCCCGAACGACTCACACCACGAGGAGCCCGAACGAGTCATACCAGGAGAAGGGGCCCGAACGACTCACACCAGGACGAGGGGCCCGAACAACTCACACCACGAGAAGCCCGAACGACTCACACCAGGACGAGGAGCCCGAACGACTCACACCACGAAGAGCCCAAACCACTCACACCAGGAAGAAGGGCCCGAACGACTCACACCAGGACGAGAAACCCCAAACGACTCAAACCACGAGGAGCGCTTTCTCTCCCTCCTCCTCCGCCTCGTCCTTCTCCCGCTCCCCCCACAAGGAGGATGTACATGGAGGCGGGAGGAAGGAGGAACAGGAGAGATATGCGGGGCCAAGCGGACACACGCCTGCAAAACACGACTGTCGGCATGCTTCGCAAGAGCTGCTGCTGTGAGATGGGCTGGTGGGGATACGCGACGCGTAACGAATTCCATTACTAGTACTATTACTATTACAAATATTATTACTAGTACTAGCACTCTTACTTCTAATATTACTAATACGATTACGATTACGATTCCGATTACGACTACGATTACGATTACTAGTACGATACTAGTCCTATTACTATTACTGGTATTGCTATTACGAATCCGATTACGATTACGATTACGATTACGATTACTATTACGATTACGATTACGATGATTATTACTATTACAAATACTATCACCATTACTGCTAATATTACTCTTACTATCACTATTCATATTACTATCACTATTACTACTACTATTAATATTACTCGTACTATCACTATTACTAGTAATAGTACTAGTACTAGTACTAGTACTAGTACTAGTACTAGTACTAGTACTAGTACGAGTACTAGCACTAATACTAGTACTAGTATTACAAAATTTACAACTACTACTACTATTACTATTACTAGTACGATTACTCTTACTATTACCATTACTATTAATATTACTATTACTATTACAATTACTATTACTATTACTATTACCATTATTATTATTACGAGTACTATTACTATTACTAGCACTAGTACAAATACTGTTACGATTCCTATTACTATTACTATTACCAGTACTATTACCATTACTACTACTAATACTAATTCTGCTACCTTTACCATTACGATTCCTATTACCATTACTATTACCATTACTATTACTATTACTATTACTATTACTATTACTATTACTATTACTATTACTATTACTATTACTATTACTATTACTACTACTATTATAGTACTATCATTTGTATTACGACTATTATTATGTTTACGTGTATTTTTACATTTACGATTACTAGTACTATTACGACTACGATTCCTATTACTAGTACTAGTACGAGTACTACTACTAGTACTCGTACTCTTACTATGTCTATTACTATTACTAATATTATTATTCGTCGTAGTATCAGTAGTGATACTACTACTACTACTACTACTACTACTACTACTACTACTACTACTACTACTACTGTTACTACTACTACTACTACGACTACTACTACTACTACTACGACTACTACGACTACT